ATGAATCTAGGAAAACTACAAGCTGTCAAAAATGAAATGGAATGCATAAAGATTGATCTCCTAGGGATGAGTGAGCCAAAATGGACTGGTACTGGCCATTATGAATCAGACAACCATATGGTCTACTATGCTTGGAATGACCAACTGAGGAATGGCATTGCATTCATCATCAAAAAGAACATTTCAAGATCTATCCTGAAGTACAATGCTTTCAGTGATAGGATAATAGAATAGCCATATGCCTACAAAGAAGACCAGTTAATACAACTATTATTCAAATTTATACACCAATCACCAAAGCAAAATATGAAGAAATTGAAGATTTTTACCAACTTCTGCATAAGTTGACCAAAGATACAGTCAAGATGTACTAATAATTACTGGCTTAGAATAAGAAAATTAGAAACAAAGAAGCATAGGTAGTTGGAAAATATGGCGTTGGTGACAGAATTGACTCCAAAGACCACACTGTGGTAAAGTTTGTGTGTCATCTTGGCTGGGACTGGTTGAGTGGCTGGGCAGTTGCATGTAGTATTCCCCATGATGAGACTGGCAATCAACTCCATGGTGGAATCTACTGTGAACAGCTGAGTAGCTGCCTTAGGGCTGTGGTCTGCTTCCCATATATAAGGAGAAGCCTTGGGAAATGGTCTCTAGCTTATGGCATGCTTGGACCCTGCATGTAGCCATGTTGTTGTTCAGCAGTCTGCCATGCTCTGCTGACCTTGGGACTTTCAATGGACTTGAATTAATGGCGACCTGTGTGGTCTGGTAACATCGGGACTGTGACATTTTATTTGTTGACCTTGGGCTTGTTAGCCTCAGCAGCCAGTAGCTGCCTGAGTGAAGAGATGCCTCAGTTTCAGTGGGCTGGGAGCAAGAGGCAGAGCTGAAGCCCAAGGTCGAGGGGCTTTTATATAGCCCCTAGAATCTAGCATTTTGAACTTGGACTTCCAGCCTCCCGAAATGTAAGAGAATAAACTCCTGTTTGTTGAGGCCATCCCATTTGTGGTATATTCTTGTCAGAGTGGCTCTAAGTAACCAGAACACACATGATAGCATTTTGTAAGACCAATGACATTCACTGCAAATACCTTTTTTTAACTACATATACAGCAACTGTACACATGGATCTCAGGAGATGGAATACACAACTGGACTGATAAGCAACATCACAATAAAAGAAGAAGAGATTAAGCTTGTCAGGGATTTCATTTTACTTGGATCCACAATCAACACTCATGGAAGCAGCAGTCAAGAAATCAAGCATTGTATTGCACTGGGCAAACCTGCTGCAAAAGACCTCTTTATAGTGTAATGGAGCAAAGATGTCAGTTTGAAGGCTAAGGTGCACCTGACACAAGCCATGGTATTTTCAATTACCTCGTATACATATGAAAGCTGAACAATGAGCTAGGAAGACTGAAGAAGGCTTAATACCTTTGAACTGTGGTGTCAGTGAAGAATACTGAAAATACCGTGGACTAGCAGAAGAATGAACAAATCTGTCCTAGAAGAAGTGCAGCCAGAATGCTCCTTACAAGCAAGAATGGCCAGACTTCATCTTACCTACTTTGATCATATTGTCAGAATGTACCAGTCCATCGAAAAGGATACCATGCATGGTAAAGCAGAGGGTCAGTGAAAAAGGAGAAGATCCTCAATGACATGGATTGACATGGTGGCTGCAACTATGGGTGCAAGCATAGCAAAGATTGTGAGGATGTGACAGGACCAGCAGTGTTTTGTTCTGTTGTACCTAGAGTCGCTGTAAGTGACCAATACAGTGAAGGTTTATCCTCTATAGCCTTCTTGTTTTTCCACATTAATAAAGTATTATTACTATATTATACAAAATTACACAAAGCCAAAAGTTTACAGTGTTGACTCATGAATCACTACTATCCCTATTTATTTTTAACTTTATATTATGAGTTGGATGAAACTGTACAGAGCAAATTCATTTTTTGTGCAGTATGTTATACCAATCAACAGTTCCTACACATTTTGTTTTGTGACATGGAATGTAATCCCCACAATGGAGCAGCACTCTTTCCACATCCTCCCTGTGGTTACCATTTTCCTTTGTCCTCCTTTCCTATTCATTCCTACCTTCTGTGTTTTTCCTCTGTGTAAATGCTGTCCATAGGTGGATGGATTGACCTATTCCGGATTCTCAATTCTGTTCCACTGGTCAATGTGTCTGCCATTTCTATATCTTCTTTAGAATTAATCACCATGAGTGGAGTGAAAAGGAAGTTAGCAGACTTCTATACTCTTAAGCTCCTTGATTATGCTTGGATCCATTTACCAATGTAGTGACCTAAACTCCTTTAAAACTACATTTTAAAATTCAATACAGTTGATACCCCCTTTAAGTACTTCAATTAACAAACCAAACCTCAAGTTTTTAAGGCATTGTTGTAAATCTTATAAATTAAACATATATGTATATAGATAGATAGATAGATAGATAGATAGGAGCTCTGGT